AAAAATTTTAGATGTAAATATTTTCACACTTTTTGTTTTAAAGTATACATTAATTTTATACCTTAATATAAAAATGAAAAGTTTAAATTATTTCTATTCGACCATAAATTAAGTATGCAAAACCTTTTATTTATTATAATAAGTTATTAGATAGACTACATGATCATATAAATAAACTTGAAACAAAAACTTAAACAACAATAACTATGATTAATTTCACATCTTAATAAACTTAATATTTACAAATTTTCTTCATATGTGCGCATACACGCATTCATAAATTACAATAGCCGTTATTTTTTATTTCAGAGTTGTAAAAAAAAAGCATTAAGTCTGGTTGAAACCAATTGGCATCACTTTTAAAATATGTTAAATGCTTAATATGCTTATTATGGCATATGTTTTTTGTTGTGTTGTATATAATATGAAATATAAAAATTGTAAACACTAAAAATTAATTAATAAAAATTAAAGAAAACAAAATGGATATCAGAAAGGCAATAGTTAGCATTTTTATCTTATATTAGTTTAGTTGAAAATTGTGATGGATTCAAGTTTCATAATTATTCAGTTGAGTTCATAAAACTTTAAAATTAATTTTAATTTAGTTGAAACTCGAATTATTTTGAAAATATTAGAATTTATTTTATTATATACGATGCAATTCCTTTTCATTTCTTTAATATTATAATTTTCATTATATTATTAAACAATATGTAGTGTATCGCTATATACCATAACACTATATATCATACAGAATCTAAATATATAAATATAGAAGTTGACCTCAGTAAATCTATGATTATGGTCTTTTGTAGGCCTGTCACAAACACTGATAAATTGTTATCTAATAGAAAATCCTATCTGAGATAAGTTTGTCATCTGACCATTAAAAAAAATATGAGTGGAGAAACAAAGCAGAAAAATCCTGAATTAATATAACTTAGGACAACTCTTTAATACAAAATAATAATAATACTATACACCTCAATTCTAGTAGTCTATTGTGGTGTTAATAAATGAAAGCACCTTTCACAGTTGTATATCATTCCACATGTAATAATTAGCAAAAAGTCTGTCCTCCAGTTGAGTAAGTTTTCGCTGCTTGGTTATGAGATAATAGATAATAGTATATAACGCTATGAGCTGAATGAAAACCATTTCAATCTTTATAAAGGGCAATACAATTATTTTACGCTTAAGTTTGAGGCTACAAATGTTTCAAAGAATTGAATAAATTGTAACATTATTTTATAAAAAAAATTTAGGAATGCTTATAACAACTTTAACGTAAGTTATTGCTCCAAATACCGTAATAAAGGTGACCATTTTTATACATTAGAAATTGATTTGAAATACATTTACTAGACATTGTTTGTAAAAATGTATGGCTATTGAATGAAAAGTCGATGTGATCTCATAAAACTGAATGGTAACAATTTTGGACAACATAGATTTATGCAGTTTGTTTTTAAATCAGAAACATATTAAAATTTTAATCTGACTTCGTATTTCTGGAATGTGTTGCCCTTGCTTATTGTGATTTAAGACTTTAGTTTAACTTTTTTAATAAAAATTTAATAGCTATCTAGCTATTATTTTTCGACTGTTTCAGACACATTAAAATTATTGTCATATAAAAGATTATAGTAAAATTTATTAATGTCACCAATAAAATTCTTAACTAATTTTTTATTGTGTCCAAAAACTTCAAAACCACACTTAATAAACAGTTTATAAATTTTCTCATAACAATCTAACAATTTCTTTAAATTCCCAGCATTTTTTTTTCTGATTTTATCTACAAATAGTTTCTTATTTCTATATACTTTTGCAATATCAAATAAAATTTTTTATAATTAAATTTGTGTTTGGCAAAAGTTTTCTAATTACAATTATATTATCTGCTAGGGTTTGGTTGAGGTATCCTTGTGGTAGGTTTTTGGTTTTAATAACAACAGCAAATGGAATTGAGTAAAAGAGAGAAACATTGTAAAGATTATTAATGACAAAAAAAGGTTACTTGTGAATTTTCAAATAAAAGGAAATATTCAACATCTCAAGAAAAAAGGATAATAATAAAAAAGTCGAGTTAATCGAGTTATTTCATTAGAGCTGGAATTAAAAATACCTGCAGTTTACAAGGTAACGAGCACATTTAATCAAGAAATTTCCTTTTATTATACTCTTTAAAAATGTCCTTAGCGTAATTTAATTTATTTCATTTTAGTTTAATTATTTTAAAAGGATGTTATTTAACTTTAGTTCTACGAAATTTTATTGTGCTTCAGGTTAACTAAAGATAAAAAATTCTGATAATACTAGCATTTTTTTAGTTAAATTCATTTTATTTATTTTTTTCATTCATTTTTTCATCATAAGTAAGCAGAGTAATATAAAGATAATGTTGTTTTAATTTTTATGATATGTAGTATATATATTTCTATAAATGTCCTCTTATATCTGATGATATATGCTTAATTTTTTTAGTTATATATCTTCTGCTCCGGATTTTGTCGTTTGTTAACTACTCCTTAAGTAATAGACCTTTTTCAAAAAATTCTTTTTGTTATGTTGGTACACCCTTTCTTGACATATGGTACAAATTTGAGCACCATCTGTCAATTAGTTTGTTTACAGCAGCTGTTAATGTGAAACCACCTCAAGTGTATTCAGCGATTTTTACTATGGAAAATTCTTGTTATACGCGATTTTTTGACCAAACACGGCACCACTCTCATCGCTCAGGCACCATATAAGCCAGATCTGGATCCGTGTGACTTTTTTCTGTTCCCGAAATTCAAATTGCCCCATCGTGGTAAGCGTTTTGAGTCGATTGAATCGGTAAAAGAGAATTCGTCGAAGAAACTAAAAGCCATACCTACAGGGGCCTACGAAAAGTGTATGGAAGATTGGGTTCAGTGTTGGCATATGTGTATCGCTTCAGAAGAAGCATATTTTGAAGGAAATAAAATAAATTTGGAATAAAATTTAAATTTGTGTGTTTTATTTACAAAATCCGAGTACTTTTTGAGCAGAAGGTATATATAGAAAACGAAAATTAATTAAATCATTTTATTGAAAAATATAAGCTTCTGTGGATCTTTTGCTTGTTTTAGACATAGCTTAAAGATACTTTACATGGGTAGATCTGTTATAAATCAATTAGTTATTTTAATACTACTTTTAATCAAAATACTTCTAAGATAATATTATCTTGAACAAAATAATTTTTAAGTAAAATAGAATGATCACTATATTAGAAATAATTAGAATTAAAAAAAAAATAATATTTCTGTTAATACATTTATTAAAACTTAATTTAATTGAAACTCAATGCGTATGTGAAAATTGAATGATATATTATTTATCATAATTCTAAAAGTTATATTATTCCGAAAATCCCTATTTTTAAATAGAACTTAATAAATTTTTGGGGACATATTTTTTAATATTTTTTTTAACGGAAATTTTGTTCTTATATGCTTTGTATTTATATGAGAAGTGCATATTAAATTACTTTTTTAAAAATAATTCTAAAAATAATGCCACCAGAGATATTTCAGTTTTAAATTTAATTTCGTAATAAATCTAAATTAAATTTTTTATTTATAAATTTTTTATATATGGTATATATATATATATTTATATTATATTATTTGTACAAAGTTCAACCAAATATATTTACCATACAGGAAATTTATACCTACAATTGACAGCGCCCGAGATATGGTCATTTTAACATTGGTTTAAAATATTCAAAACCCAATGAGTCTGAATCTTTTATATCCGAAATGCAAATACGTTATTTTAAAAAGAAATTCTTAAAAAAAAGTCATAAAAAAAGTTAGGACGATAAGGTAAAAATCCGTTCTGCTTCTTAAAGAATGAGCTATACATGGTAAATATAATTCAAATGAGTATGAGAATAATATAAGTTTTGTGCGACTTTAAAGCAAAAAATGCCGTGATACTTTACTTCTTCGTGACTATGAAAAATAACAACCGTCAGGGCAGATCTTTTTATGTTCAAGTTAACTATGGTAATATCATGGATAGTGAGTTCATAAATCGCATAGCTTAGTGTTTGTATTAAAGTCCGTAATTGTCGTCTAGATTGTCATTTAGGGTATATATATACTGTATATAAATATATAATATTAAGAATTTTTGCAACCTTATAGTTTAGAGTAAAGAGTCTATTTGAGACTGCCTTGAATAGGTTGGTTGAGTTAGTTGGTTAGTTTTTTGTACAGTAGTTCTTAAACAGTCATTCCTTCTAATATCTGAGTTTTTCTACAATGTGCTCTCTTCACAAGACTACAGAATGGTTTAGAGATCAAGGTTATTAGATTGGGTTATATATTTGGAAAGACCTTCAGTTATTTCCATTAATTTTTTTCTTTATCTTCGTATTCTTCATAGTTCGAAATCCATCACAAAGAGAGACGAAATACAGGTGGGTTGCAAAGGCAGGTTCCGTTTTACTATCACATTTCTATTAAGATGGAGTCTAAATCTTAATTTTAAGATAGAAAGAAACATTCTATATCCATTCCGAAGTCGAAAAGACGAAGTACTACTCTTAACTCTTTAATATATATACGTATTCGAATTATACACACATTTTATTGATAAATAACAAGCAATAACAGTCATGAGTTTGTAAATAAATTTAAAACTATTTTATGTGATTTGTTTTTATTTAATTACTTTGGTATTATTAATTTTCAGACAATTATTTTTAAATGACACATAATTGAATGCGATATAAATTTGTTATGTGGTTTTAAGTTTCTTGTTGGTGTTTAAAACTAAAACTCACACCGCCTGCGACATTAGAATTAAGTACTTAATATTTGTGGTGACAATAAAATATAGGCGGAAAGTATGTAAGTTTATTACATTATTTAACTTACATAAATGGAAACTCATACACAAATCCTTGCAAAACTGTTGAATTGAAGAAAATTGACCGAAACCATGGAACAATTACGTACTTTGCCAGCATTCCTCGACTTTTCGCAGACATAAGAGTATTGTGTTCCTCAATTTCGTAGTTGACAACGAGATTATAAGCCACACATGATACCAAACTCACATCATACGTTGACATATTTTGTGGGTTAGGCTTTTGTGGAAAACTGAAAAACTTTTGTAATGGCAAACAAAAACATCTTACAAAAATAAATAAACATGAGAATAATAAACAAAATTAAATATGAAAATAGAGCAAAAAATGTACAATAAATGTAAATATGTCACTGACAGTAGAAAGTGACAAAAGCTAATCCTATTAGGCATAGAAAAGTTGATTGCTCATGTGGATTCCATAATTCTATGTACAAAGTTTTGCTAAAGATAATTTGTTACACAAATACACTGGAAAAAAAAAACAATTTCAGGTAATGAATTACTTATTTACTATTCTTACTTTTTATTTGCTCTGCATATAGTAAGCATTGGGTTATAATCACAAGTCATGGTAGTTTTGTTGTGGCAAACAACACTGTAATTTGAAAGTTAGAATAGTTCGAATAGAAAAGAAAAGACAATAACAAAAATTTAGTTAATTTATTGGTATTTGACTGACCATACAACGCCGTTTCGAGTCTTGCCAAATAGTCATTACTAGTGGTCTTAGGATATATTCGAATTTTTTAATTGGTTAATAGTCCATATATAATTTGTTTGGACTCCAAGTGCCTGAATTAGTACTCGTGCCTTTCAAATTAGAAGCGTGGATTAATCGGATTTTTCTATAAGTAGCCAAGGCTGCAGAAAGTTTCAATACTCAAGTTCCAGGTTTCCTAACAATTTTTTTGTTACGTTTTTAAAGAATATACAATTATTTTGTATATTTTATTTTTTTAAGTTGAGATTTTTTTTATTTTTAGAAAAATCGCAATCAAAATGTTGTCCTTACAATTTTTTCAAATAAATATTTTAAATCAATTATAAATATTATCTATTATCGAAAAATTAAAAATTTCATAAAAAATATTGCTACATACACCAACATATTTATTTTACTATTATTAACTTAATAATAGTATCTGAGAAGAAAGTATACGAAATTTATTTAAATGTACTGAACTATTCATTTTATTCAGCCACAACAAAGTTGATATACGTATCACTGAACCAAAAAATCTATAGTACTATAGATTCTTTGACTGAACTATGCTACCATAGGATATTTGAATGTCTTGTTGAGTATTATATAATGTTTCAATATGAACAGTATTTGAATCTATACTAAATATCTAATACACAAATTATATATAAAGGACATTATTGCCTTTGTGTGAAAAATAGTTTAACGAAATTTATTAATTTTTTTTTTAAACAAAACGAAATAAAAAATGGTAAATAACACCAGTCTTCACCTTTGGAAGAATTTCACTTAAAATATCATTATTGACACGAGCACAACCACAACATTTTTTTAATTTTTCAGCTTAGCAAAATATTAAATTTATTTCAATAGAGTTATAATAGCTACAAGATAAAATTTGTTCACTCTTCCTTTAACTCGATTCATATTATCAGTACTTGATTATTTCGAAAGAATAAATCCACCGTATTAATATTATAATAAATACTAGGTTATACAAACTGATGGATTGATAAATACCCGGCCGCAGTAGTAAAAACTGATGCTTTTTTTACAAAATTATATATTACATTTCAATATAGTCCTCTTTCAGCTCGACACACCGAGTCCAACGATTTTTCAACGTTTTGATACTTTTTGAATAACACAACTTAACAAGTCCTCCAAAGTATAACTCAATTTTTCATTCTATTTCATCATTCTCTCTCGCTGGAGAATCTTTTCAAGTTTAAAAACAGGTAATAGTCACTGAGAACCAAATCTGGAGAATACGGTGGGTGAGGAAACAATTCGTACCGTTATTCATTTAATTTCCATTTTCCCTTTTCCAAATAATCTATGAAAATTATTACGCTTGAATCCTTAAATATGGAAGCCGAAACTATTCAAGACGATTGTTGAGTTCGTGGTCGTTTGGGCTCTATCCATTCTCGGGCTTGTTGTTTTCCCTCAGGTGTGATATAATAGATACATGTTTCATCAATTGTCACTATTCGATGCTCACAGTCACCTAAATTGTTTATAAACATTTTAAAACAATGCTTTGAATGACAAAGTCATTGTGGTTTTTAGTTAATTGTGACCAAACGTGGCACTCATCTTGCCGAAAACTTTCATTGTTTTTTTCAGTTGTGACCTCTTCAGGTCACAACTCTTTTAATGTGATAAAATAGTTGAGTTGGTACTATTCCAAGATTGTAAAATTTAAAAAAATAAATCTAATTCAATAGTTAGGTTTGTGCATTTAACCAAAATAATATATATATATATATGTTGAAAAGGAAGTTAAATATGTATAGTGATATAAAAAGTCGAATCAGTTAAGTACAATTGAAATTTGAAAAGGTTAAGGTTGAAATCGAGTATGTATAATATGGATACATAATGTCCATTATATGTTAGTTTATTTAACTGAACATCTTTTTAAACATCACCACTAACCAATTAGCAACAAACACACCTCCTCCATTAATTCTAAAGTACAATCCCAAAAACTATGGTAATATTATTCTACATTATAAAAAACATATATATTAACTATAATATGTTTATTTTAAATATGTTTGTTTTATAAATTATATATATATATATACATATATATGTGTGCCAAACCACATGTACGGCACATTGTAAAAAATCTATTTTTAAGCAATTAAATTTTTTGTAACAATTTTAATAAACACGAGTGTAAAACTTTTGTTGCATTTTACAAATATTTTAATTAAAAATTGGCGGCCTTTGGTGACTGACAACAATGGAAACAAATAATGACTATAAGTTGCTTTCATTTCCACCAAAAGTTAATTATAAAAACATCAAAAAGTGCATTTCTCTCATTAGTTTTTTATTTAGTAATTTAAGTGTACAGAAGCTTATTAAAATGAAATTAAATTGAATAAAAGGTTATATAAAAAATTGTTAGTATAATATATTCATTTTTGAAACGTCAAAGGCCAATTTCAGTATCATAATTATTTTTAGCATGTCTACATCTTCTCAACTACCCGGTCATTGTAAATAATATTGATATCAGTTTTTTTCATATTTGGGAATGATCCGACTAATGCAGTCAGATTATCACCAGGTAAGCGTCGATCGAAAGGATAGCCCATGGTACGTCTGTCTGGATACTTTTTGTCTTTTAAACCACAGAATGAATAAGCATCACCACATACATCAGGACTGTATAAATGATTAGAATATACAAATAATATTAAAAATTATTTAATAAGTATTAATATATTTTAAATAAACTCAAGTACAATGAAAACTTAAAAGTACAGTCACTTCAACCAAAAAATAACGACAAAATAATACTGACCTTGTATTAGTTTCTTCAACTTTATCACCTTCGTAGTCTGAAATCATGACGAATAAATCAAACATCATACCTTCAGCTCTACCCTTAGGCAATAACAAATGTTGTGGCCAACCACAACCACAAAAACGGAATTTTGCCAATTCATCTGCAGCTTTCGGTTGATATTGTTCACCTATACGCCGGAATGAGCGCTCAAATGGTATGGTTACCGATGATTGATCCGAACGACGGCGTATAGTATTTTCACCAGCTTGTACTACAAGAATTAGAACGCATATTTGTATATAAACGGAAACATGAAAAAACTTCCACGAAAATACCAATTCACCGAAAGTTACTTACAATCAACTGTGAATTTATCCATTTCAATAGCCAATAAACGTTGGTCTTCCAATTTCAAAGGTGTACCACGTTCATCTACTTTTGGGCAAATAAATATGCGGCATGTGCCCTTCTTTTTACTACCAGTAGCGTTGGTTACATTGAATGTGTAGTCGAACGGTGCGTGTTGCAGATGCACAAATGAAGCATAAAGATTACCATTTGGTCCAAAATCTAAACCAGCAGCTAAATCAACATCAGATTTTTGCCAATAAGTCAATAAAGTATTTGGACGTGAATTTTTGGATCTAATTTTAGCTTCAATATAATCAACAGTTATGCCATTAAAACCCAAATGCGACTCATTGTAGGGATCAAGTAGTTTTTTAAATTTAGCAAAAATATTATCAATAAACGTATGCCATCTAT